TAGTCATGTTCTTCGCCTCCAAAATATGTATAATATAGAGATTTTTAGGTCTAGGGAGGTTCTCCATATGTATTCTGCTGTTCTCTCTTTATAGGAGCCGAAAATTGGTTGAAAATCACGTTCAAATTGGTTTCCAAAAGAGTTCTAATCGAATAAGAAAAGTTGCCTTCGCGCGCAGATTTTTTGTCTCTGTACAGCAGTTCGTATTTTAGTTATAACTTTTTCTCCTGATATTCGATTCAAAGTGCGTTGGAAAGATAACTCGAAAGGCTACAACTTTGATAGAAATAGAGTTTTTCCAATTCGGATGTTTACTATGCCAAAAAGGAGTCTCAATATTCGGCTAAAAATCTGGAATATATCTTGTGCGATTGGAAATTGATTTTGATAATACTTTGATCATGTTCCATTCCTTTTTGAATTCTAATTTCATCCAATTGTCTCCTAGAAATCTTTAAAGTATCTTCTTGAGTATTTGTAATTTGATCCTCGAACTTTGGATTTTACCATTTTTCGTCATTTTTACATTCTTTTCTCTAATTCTTCATCAAACATTGAGTTTTGCCTACATGAAGCAATATAACATAATTTAGGTCGTATTTTACCAAAAAGACAATAAAATATCATCATTTAGGATCTTGAATAAGTATAGAAATTACACTTATCAGTGTACAATGAACATCACTGTGGAATTTATTCTATTGTTTAATTATATACTTGTGTTCAGGGAGAAACTGGCAGGTACAGATTGGGCAGTGGTTACTACTAATGATGGCAAGAGATATTACTACAACACTAGAACTCAGGTATGGTCATGTGGTTGAAGCTCCTATCCCCTTTACCATTTTAGCACGTATCTCTAGAGCCATTTCATTTTTGCATTTGAAGCTGATTTATTTGCCCGTAATCTGACTTTGCTATTCAGTTACCTTTCAATTCAACTGTTCCTGTGAATTTTCAACGAATCTGTTTGATAAGATGTTAGATAATAATATTTTTTATTTGCCTTCAGCAGTAAAGTTTCCTAGCACCTTTCTGGGCAAAAAATTTTATCATAGAAAATTAAGTGCAAGTCTAGATTTGCTAATGAAAGCAAATTACTTTTTCCAAATTTCCCTAGCAAGAAAACATTACCAGACTAGGCCTGAGTTTCTTTTGCTGCTAAATGGCACTAATATTGTGGGACTCTGTAATGGAAGTATTCAAAGTAAGGGAGAAGGTAAAGTAGAACGAATTACATTGGAGAAAGGAAGTTCACATGAAAATATGCTGTAACCTGTCCAGATTCCGAACTCTGGAATTTATGGAAGAAGAAAAGTGAAGACTTACCTATTCTGAGAAGAAAATTCTTCAAATACTGATGCCTTTTGACATAAAGTATACACTGAAATTGATTAATTTTCAATTGTGAACTTTTGATGATTTTTTCTGTTTTAGGTCAATCTATCTATCACCTGTCTTTTGGCACAAAGCATTCACATAAATAGATTCTTTTTCAATTATCCATTACCTGTGTGTTTTGGCATGAGTCATTCACTGAAATAGATTATTTTTCAATTAGAGTCTTTTAATGATTTCATGTTGAGGTCAATGTATTCTGTTGAGTCACTTAAAGATATTCAAAACATAACTCCATGACAAAATTTACCTTGTGAAACACTTCATGTGGAAGTTCCTGGAAGTTTTATATTCTTTCCACTTGTTTAATTTTAAGTAAAAATAAATTCTTTAATCCTTTCTGGAGAATAGCACAGAGATAATGCCCTTTGCAATTGCATTTTTCTATTCTTTATTGCTTGTCCTCTTCACACATCTCTTATAATAATGGGTTTTCTGGGAAACTATCCATTTCCCCCTAAACCTTAATGATAAGCAAATGAGTTTGTGAGCCATATTTCTACTTTCTAAATCACTTCATATCTGAGTTGGAAGTTTGAAACATGTGCTTTTTTTCTCTTCTTTTAGCCTCCTTTACTTAGAAGACTAAGTTCCCTACATGGTGAAGGCTTTTACTTATTTTATGGATCTTGAGAAACTAATACTAGTTAGTTGGGAGATTTGACCAGTTATTTTTCCTGATGCTGGCCTCTTACATTTGCATAACAAGTTTTGCAAGTCTGGTAATGAATGATAGCAAATTGTTGTTGGGTTCCGGTTATGCATTGATGCTGATTACTTTGTGGATTTGGAAGAGAGAAATGCTAGGATCTTTGACAAATTCCTCTTTCCTTCTCATTTACATTGGATAGAGTTGATCTCTCTGCTACTAGTGCAAGGCTTGGTGGAGTTCCACAAGATGCTACTATCAGATCTACAACGTTGTTGGAAAATAATTTATGAAGAGTTATAGAGCTTAGATCTAAGTTTTAGCCCGTGTTTCTTGTCCTCTGATATTCTTCTATTTCTTCTCCGTCAGTTATTATGTTTTCCATATAAAATGGATGCTCTATCCTGTTTCATCTTTTGATAAGTGCAACTTAGTTCATACCTGCATGGCTACACCTTTAACAAAAGCTTTGACTCATATATGTTCACAAGAGTACCAACATCCTTGATGTCTATTGCCCTGGACATTATGTTATTATGAAGGCAACTTTAAGGAAAAAATACACACAAGACTCATTTTCAGGCCAGGACATATTGTCTGAGAGCCAACTTTTTTTGGTAGCCATTAGAGAACATCTTCTAGAATATCTTGTGTTTGTCTCTTCTTTATATCTTGTTTCTCTAATGTTATTTTGATGACTTGGGGTTTATTAATTGTCTTCTTTGCTAGTATTCTTATTATTTTTGGACTTCTTGTCATCTTACATTCTTTGCCTATCATTTAATCAGCTAAGCAGCTGGCAAATTCCTAATGAGGTGATGGAGTTGAAAAAGAAGCAGGATGCTGATTGTTCAGAAGCTCAATCACTATCGGTGATAAACAATAATGTAATAAATGAAAAAGGATCTGCTCCTGTTAGTTTAAGTACACCTGCTGCTAACACAGGTGGTCGTGATGCCACAGCTCTGAGACCCTCGGGTGTTTCTGGACAATCATCTGCACTTGATCTCATCAAAAGGAAGTTACAGGATTCTGGAACCCCGGCTTCTACTTCTGCAGGCTCAGCTTTGTCAGGAGGGATGGTATTAGAACTAAATGGCTCAAAAACGATTGAAGACGTGACCAACGTTTCACAGGATGACTGCATTGAAAAGCGCAAAGATGCTAATGGTGATGGTGATTTATCAGATTCCTCTTCTGATTCAGAGGATGAAGACCGAGGTCCTACCAAAGAGGAATGCATCAACCAATTTAAGGTATCTTTATTTCCTTTCAGGTTTCTTTTTTGGGGATGAAGGCAGTTATATTTTCAATGCTCTCAACATTATAAGTACAGGGCAACTGGCTATATACTTTACCAATCCCAATGATAACTCAAGTTAAGAAACAGTGTAATTTTTCCTAGAGTTTTTGACAATTGAGATGTCATTTCACCCTGAAGATTAAGTGCTTGTTTAAGAGGTGTTTACAGTATAATCACTTTTGGTGGAACCTACTTTTTATCCACACATTTTGTAGGGCATCGCTACTACCCACTTTTTATTTACACATTCTGTGCAACCCTTTGCTTAAATTATAATTTATACACTCCCAAGCATGCTTTATGATTCTTACGCTAGAATAAACTGGGCAAAAGTTTGTGTGAATGAGTGGTGTGCTAATTACAACATTGTAAAGTTGTTGTTAGGCCCTGCTTGATATCCCCAATTTTCCATGAATCTTGGAAATCATTTTCCATTTTCTATCTTTTACATTGTTTGATAACAAAATTTTCCTTGGAATTGGTTCCCCTCCCCCGAACCCCCCACGTGACCCCCTTTTCTTGGTTTTCATTGAATTGGTTCTCCCACTACTTTGGTGGGAAAATGGTTTTCCACCTTTTTTTTAAAAGCAATGGAAACAAATTCTATCCTCAATCGTAACACCCCTTTTCTTGGTTTTCATTGAATTGGTTTTCCCACCACTTTGGTGGGAAAATGGTTTTCCACCCTTTTTTTTATTAGCAATGGAAACAAATTCTATCCCCAATTATATCTTTTTAATGGACAATTTCCATGTAAAACAAAATCAAACGAACACCAAAGGATCCAAAATTTCAGTATTTTTCACGTTGAAAATTATACTAATCAAATACAATTAATTGACAATTCGCAGGAAAACAATTTTAGGCAATTCAATTCCCTAGAATTTATTTTCTTTTCACTCAAATTCCACTCCTGCAATCAAACGGACCTTTAATTCCATCATCTATTGAATTCACAACCTATTGGTCTACAATGTTAACTACCATTGCCTTCTGTCTCCAATTTGAATTTGAGATGGTACATAAGGTGGGAACCATATGTTTGAGTTTTCAAATTCTAGTGTTCTTTCAATGAAGGTAGTTTTTGGGTTGCTATATCTATTTTTTTTTTTATTAAGAAAATAAGCCTTAATGTTATGAAGGGTTTTGCCCGTTCAAAGGCCTTGTGAGCTTAAGTTTTAATAGATCATTGATAGCTGGTAAATTTTCAGTTGTTATTGCACGTTCATTTGATCATGGGATTATATGTGCATAATTTTTTATGAGGAGAAATGTTCCCATTATTTTTTCTGACTTCCTAGATTGTATAAAGTCTCAGCATTGAAAAATGTTCCCATTATTTTTGTTTGTTTAATTTTTGAAATTAATTCCATTGCCTCGATTTTTCACAAAGAAACCAGGTATATCCTCTTCCTTATGTATCCTCAAGAGCGTTTCTTATTTAATGGAATCATTTTACTGGAATAATATAGGATGAATTACCTGGATTCTAGTTCTATCATCAGCTATGGGTTCGAATTTAAATCTCATTTTTATGGTAGACTTCTGTGGAATTATTCTCACACTATGATGAGGTTAGATTTTTTGTGGTGTAGCTTGTTGAGAAATGTTGGATGTAAGGGATTCGAGAATTTTTCCCGAGAAAAGAAAAACTACATAACAATTTATGGGAGAGAGTAAAGTTTTTGGCTTCTTTATGGGTGTCTACATCTAAGGATTCAAGGAGTTTCACTAATCATAGTTCTTGGTTAGAACTTAGAAGAATGTGATGTATCCTTGATTTCTTATATTTCAAGACTCCTCAACTTGATGTATGTATCTATATGTCATGATTAATATAAATATGTTTTCTATAAAGAAAAAAAAAGTTGGAAATAGTGGTGCGACAACCATAAGAATATGGAGGTGCAACAGTGGGGGTGCCAACGTGCTTTTTATGTCGAGAACCAAGAAATACAGCAATTGGAGACTTGCATGCTAATCCTTGTTGGATAGTCCTGCCTATTGGACACAGAATTCTAGTGTTATGATGGGTTGTTATTTTGCAAAAAAAAAAAAGCAATACAATATTACCCATAGATTTTGGGCTAACTCCATGAGTGTTTTTTGCTCATGCTAGTCAATCCAAAGTTATATCTACTGAGGTCCAATAAAAATCAAATCTTTTTGCAAATACCTCAAGGCCATATTAATATTGGACAGCATCTTCTTCTTCTTACTTGTTCTTTTGTATCAATGTTGTGAATGGCAGCTTCGTTAGGTCTACGCTAGAAGTTCCTCAGCCACCTAAGTTCTCATTCTCGTGATTTATCTTCAATTCGTGCCATCCTACTTGTTAACGCGTATCTTCATTTTTTTTTTTGTGTTAAGAGTATGACCACATGTTCATCTTATTCCTTCTTTTTGTTGCATTCATCTTATAATGATTTGTCTTTTAACAGTCTTATGCTCAATCGTATAACATAGATGGCTTAATAAGCATTCTATAAAGCTTTTGCTCTAACATGACAGGTATCTTTTGATCATGTAGTGTTCCCATTGTATTTCTCAATTTTTTTCAGCTCATTCTTGTAGTTTTTGAGAGAAAATATTCCTATATTTCTTATTGATAATACACAGATTACAAAAATAGATAGAAGAGATTAATGCCTAAATCTTCTCTAGAATAAAAACAAACTAATGATCTAGTGCATAAAAAATGGAACAACCTAATCTTATCCTAACAGATAGATGCGAATAATTTCTAACTTTATAGTTTATCCTAACTTATTATTTTCTAATATTCAACACTCCCCCTCAAATTAGTTCATAGATATCTATCATGCCCAAGTTAGGTTTAAACAATCCTTTTGTAAGGATATCTGCTGTTTGTTGTGCAGTTGAAACAAATGGCTTGCAGATTTCCTTAGCTTCAATCTTTTCTTTAATAAAATGCCTATCAATTTCCACGTGTTTGGTCTGATCGTGTTGCACTGGATTGTTGGCGATGCTGATTGAAGCCTCGTTGTCAGAGTGCAATTTCAGAGGCATATCTATTGGTTGCTTGAGTTCTGCTAGTACTCGCTTTAGCCATAACACTTCACACATTTCTTGTGCCATCGCACTGCTCAGAGCTCCTACGTGATTTTTTTGCTTCTCCAAGTAACGAGATTACCCCATACATATGTACAATAACCAGAAGTAGATCGTCCATTAGTTACTGAACCTACCCAATCTGCGTCAATATAAGCTTCAATATTCCGATGCTCATTCTTTTGAAAAAATAAGCCCTGTCCCGATGTGCTTTTCAGGTATCTCAATATTTGGTATACAACCTCATGTGGTAAGTAAATTAGTCTTCCCACTAACCTTTGGTACTGAGATGTCTCCTCGAGTTTTCCTTCTTTGCTATTTCCCAAACTTCTGAATAGGATCCATTGGAGTATCAATTGGTCGACATCCACTCATTCCTGTCTCTTTAAGGAGATCAAGAATGTTTTTTCTTTGTGAGACAACAACTCCCTTTCTTAAGCGAGCAATTTCCATCCCCAGAAAGTATCGTAGGGGGCATAAGTCCTCGACCTCAAATTTTGTTGAGAGATTCTTTTTTAATTGGTCCATCTCAACCACATCACTTCCTATCAATATGATATCATCTACGTACACAATTGAGACAGCTATTTTTCCTTCTTTGGAATCTTTAATGAACATTGTGTGATCGGAATGTTCTTAAATATAGCATTGTCTCTGTACAGATTCAGTGAACTTGTCGAACCAAGTTGTCGTTGACCGTTTTGGTCCATAGAAAGTCTTTTTGAATCGGCATATCTTGGATCCAAACTTCTCATTAAATCCCAGGGGTGAGTCCATGTAGACTTCTTCCTCCAAGTCAAGGAACTTTTTTTTACATCTAATTGTTGAAGTTGCCAATCACAATTTGCTGCAATAGATAAGATCACTTGAATCGTATTTAGCTTGGCCACTGGTACAAAGGTTTCAAGGTAGTCAATGCTGTAGATTGGAGTATAACCTTTCGCTACAAGTCTCGTTTTGTATCTCTTAAGGGATTCGTTTGACCTATGCTTATAAGAAACATAGTGAGACATAGGATGTTTTGTGCAAGACCTAACACCCTTTCAAATAGCTATAGGAACATCTTTCCAATTTTGTTCCCTCCTTGAGTAGACTAGTAGTCATCTCCATATAGTATTCAGTGACATTCCCTTCTCCTTGCTTCGCCTTCCATAGTTTTGTTTTAATTTTGTAAATTTGGGACGAATCTTCCGCATCGGAGTACATCTCTCGATTGATATCCTATATGTCCTTCGAGGTCGCCATGAAGAGATAAATTTTGTCAGTGGCGGCTTCATTGAGTTGACGAGCCATGACATCATTGTAGAATTTTCAGATTTTCATTTTTGTTGAAGTGTTGGATCCGCGGGCTGCTTCGTGTTGCCGATAAAGTACCAAAATTTTCCTTTCCCGTCGACCACTAACTTAATTGATTGTGTCCACTCTATGTAATTCCTAGCATTGAGCTTCTCTACCGTGAGTTGAAATGAGATTATCAATTCCAATTGAATTCATGGTGGGAATAGTTTCAGTCTCACTAGTTTTGGATTTAGAGAAGGCTGAGTTTTTACTATTGGCGGTGTTCTCTGCCATTGATAGCCAAGTTGAATGAACCCATGCTCTGATACCATGTAGACACAATGAGAATGCTTACAACTTGCAAATGGCTGTGGCGGTTTGGAGTGGAGGGAGAGTTTCTGGAGAGAAATCATTGGGGCGAAGTAAGGTGTGATGGAGGGGGGATGGTGTTCGGGTGAGGGTCGTGGAAAATCATTGGGGCGAAGTATGATGTGATGGAAGGGGGTTGGTGCTCGGGCGAGGGTTGTGGTCCGTACGGGGTGAGTTTGTAGAGGTATATTCGACGTGGATGGAGCGACTTTCAAGATAGATTGATGTTTGCGGTGGGTAATGGGAATAATATCAGATTCTGGGATGACTGTTGGTGTGGAGATAGACCGTTTAAAATGGGGTTCCCTTCCTTCCTATGGTGCCTTCTGCTATGGTGAATGGCGTTTTAACCATTCACAATGAGAGTTATAGTTGGAATATTAACTTTCAGAGGGGCCTGCATGATTGGGAATTGGATGATTATGTACTATTTTTATCTTGTTTGTATGAGGCACATATTCGGGTTGGAGAGGTTGATCGTAGCAGATGGAGGTTGGCACGGAATGGTATTTTTTCAGTCCACTCTTATTTTAGGTTCCTTTTGGGTCCTGTGGAGCACTCATTCCCTTGGAAGATGGTGTGGCACTGTAAACTACCTCCATGACTAGCTTTTTTATTGTGGACGATGGTGAGGGGTCAGGCACTGACGATGGATAACCTTCGCAGAAATGGCTTTTTTGTTACCGAGTGGTGCTATATGTGTAGGAGTGATGAGGAGACGAATGACCACTTATTCATTCAGTGTGATGGAGTTCGTTGGCTGTGGAACGGTATTTTGACTTCTCAACATATAGATTGAGTGTTGCCTAGACGAATTGAGGATGTGTTGCGGGCATGGAGGAGAAAACTTTGTAACAAGAATAGCAAGCTTGTTTGGAACCTTATCCCATGATGCATTGTTTGGTGTGTGTGGAGAGAAAGGAACAACCAATGTTTTGAAGACCAAACACGGACCACAGAGTAATTTAGAGAATTATTTTTTCTGGCTTTGTACACTTGGTTTAATGTCACGGCTAGTAATCCTATTGAGGGGCCGTCTAACTTCATGTTGTTCCTTTTGTATTTATCTTGATTATACACTCGTGTATTCTTCGTTGATTAATAAAATACTGAGATTACCTATAAAAAAAAGAATGCTTACAACTCTACACCACAATAAATAATACAATACAATGGAAAAGGAAAGGAAAATAATATTCCAACTTAAGAAAGAAAAGATATTTCCTAACTTAACTCTAATTATACCATACACTAATATTACAATCATCCCATAATTGATTCGTGATTTCTCCGCAAGCTGTCACCAAAGAGTTCTCAGATCTCCATGTTCTGTGGTGTGGATCTTCTGCTGCTGGTTGCTTCACCTCGCCTGTCAGGTAACCGAGTTTCCCTCTACTATCGATAGCCAGCTTCACTGACTGAGCCCATTCCAGATAGTTTTTACCGTTCAATTTATAAACATTAATCTGAAATGAGGAGTTGACAGGGGGGTTTTCCACACCGTATGTTGCAGTCTTGACTCCAGGTTGAGTTGCTTCTGATGTAGCTTCAGAAGTAGTTCCGGTCGTCGCCGTCCTCATCATTGATGTATTCACCATTGTGATATATGGAACAAGAAAGCTGGCTCTGATACCATGTAGTTTTGGAGAGAAAATATTCCTATATTTCTTATTGATAATGCACAGATTACAAAAACATATAGAAGAGATTAATTCCTTAATCTTATTTAGAATAAAAACAAACTAACAATCTAGTGCATAAAAAATGGAGCAACCTAATCTTATCCTAACAGATAGATGCGAATAATTTCTAACTTTATCCTAACTTATTATTTCCTAATATTCAACAATTCTAATTCTACGCATTATATCGTCTACAAGTCCTGATTTCTTGTTCATAATCAAATCTAAATACCTAAACACTAGTTTGTTGGGATACCATGATTCTCTTTTGTGACTCCACTGGCTGTCATTTTAATTGTATTATGACTAAAAGGAAATTGTAGCGTTCAGACTTGAATTACACTTCCTCAGGAATCTTTTTTTTTTTTTGAGTTTGTAAAAATACAGATTTCTTATTAATGAGTCTAAAAGATATATAGTTCAGGTAATACGTCATCATTATATGTTTTATCGTGGTTAGTAAGCTTTATGCTTGAGGGATAAAGATGATAAATTCATGTGACTATTTTCTTGTTTTCTGTGTTGTAGGAATTTGTATGACCTCACACGACTTATTGCTTATTTCCAAGCTTTCCTTTTAGTATAGATAAACTCGTCTCAGTGTGAATTAGATGGGTTGTCATTCAAGTTTCTTTGGTGATTTCTATGCCTGAAATTAATTTAGGATATCTAGATATATCGCCTATGTATACTTTTATTCTAGTTATTCAAGCACTGTGCTAGGCTATACTGTTATTGACTATTTAATTCTGTGGTCGGATTTTGGATGCTTTGCCATTCTATTATCCTTTGTACTTTTGGAATTTCTAGGAGATGCTCAAGGAACGTGGTGTGGCACCATTCTCGAAATGGGATAAAGAACTTCCAAAGATAGTGTTTGATCCACGTTTTAAGGTTTGTTGATTCATATAGCAATGAATTAAGTGTGGCAATTTGATCATTTTTCCATCTACTTTTCCTCGATGCTTATCTGTAAATTAGCAGCATTCACTGAGAAGTGGAATCTTATCTTGTATAGTTATACATGCCTGCGCACTGACACAGTGCATCTGGTAAATAAAATTATCTTTCTGCTTATGTGTTCTTTAAAATTTTCTTTTCTTTTTTCTTCATAAAAACTCTTAAAAGTTTTACATATGAGAAATAAATGCCCGTTGAAGAAGAAAACGACCATCTAAAAATATGTAAAATTGGAGCATTTTTCTAAGCCTCATTCAAAACCAATATACTTATTGATTGTGTGGCTGCCACAATGTGCTTTTCATTCACTATATATGTTTCTTGTTTCATGTTTTGATCTGTTAATTTGCATTGGATTCTTTGGTATGAAGGGAATTATCTCTGGATCTTTCTTTATCTCCCATGCTACAAATTAGCTTGTTATTGAAGTTCTTCCCTTTGCAGGCTATCCCAAGTCACAGTGCTCGAAGAGCGCTGTTTGAGCACTATGTGCGAACACGTGCTGAAGAGGAGCGGAAGGAAAAACGAGCTGCTCAGAGGGCTGCTGTGGAGGGTTTCAAGCAGTTATTGGAAGAAGCAAAGGAGGTTTGGCGCAGCTGTGTCTTATTAAAGTATCCTCACTTTCTGTTAGAATTAGGATATCATAAGGTATAGATTTTGAGCTCTAGAGATTAGATTGATTTCTGACTTATCACCAACCTTCAGGATATTGATTGCAACACTGATTATCAAAGATTTAAGAGAAAATGGGGAAAGGATCCACGATTTGAGGTCTTGTCCCGGAAAGAAAGAGAGTTTTTGTTGAATGAAAGGTAAAGTTTGCTGTTTCTTTTAGTACTTAAAACAATTTGACAATGCAGTAGTCATGGTCATTTAGCAATATATATGTCTACATGTGGAGTTCAGTAGGGATGCTTGCTTGATATCTTGTGCTCATTGTTGATCGCTGCCAGTTTGATTGTTGACAATACAGTTTGATACTTGCCCTTCTAAACTGTTCCTTGACCTCCCCACTGCTTTTAGATTTAGGTTTTGAATTTTGATTATAGACAAAGTGTTGTCTATTTTTTCGAGTGACTGGTGGTTGTGTATGTGTATTAAATCAAAAGCTGCACATGGAGTAATGATATAGTACCTTTATGGAAAAATGAACCAACCTTTCTTCCTCATCTACTAAAAGCTTCTTCCATCTATTTCATATGTCTATCATTTAAAATACTCTCTCTCTCTCTCTCTCTCTCGCTCTCGCTCTCGCTCCCTCTCCCTCTCCCTCTCCCTCTCCCTCTCTCTCCCTCTTTCTCTGTGAATGCTCTTTATGCATCAGATTCTAATGAAAGTATTATAGCTGCCCGTTAAGATGCAGCTTATGTGCGTGGGATCCATGATGCCAGTCTTGATAGTTAGGTGTCTCTGTACAGGGAATCTTTAATTGTACCATTGGAGATTTTTGTGATGCCTGCCATTTTTGTGACTAGTTTTACTGAATCTTATCTATTTTGTAATGTTTTTAATATCGTTGTCTAGTATATGCATGTAACTGTAAGCCGTATGTATAAATTGAAGTTGGCTATAAATCCAATGCTATTGGCTTCTTAGCACATGTGAATTTGTTCTGGTTCTAAAACATCAGAAGGAATCAAGTTCAAATTTGTTAGTCAATAGTCAGTAGTCTTGAATTTGTGAGTTCGTGAAATTCCATACACACTTAGTTGTCTGTGTATAAATAGATTGATTCCAGTTTTATTGGCCTACTTTACATGTTCTGGCAGAATTATCTTTTTGTTACTTAAAATATAATTGGGCAAATTCTTAGTGATTTAGTTTTGTCCTTGACTTTAGAGATACGCGGGAAATGCAAACATATTTACTGCATTGGCTTTTCGATAAATTTGTTCTACTGGCTGTATTTTTGTTAAGTGCAATATTTTCCAGAACTAGATTTAAGATGATGAAACTGAGTGCTGCTCACTAAGTGCAATATTTGTTGACTTATAATTTTCTTTGTTAGTAGTTGAACTGGATCCATCTTTGCCCCCCAATAGTTATAAAACCTTGTGCTAGTGGATCAAATAGGGGTTAAAGATATTCTAAAAATTCAACATATGGTTGAGATCCTGCTAAAAGTGTTTTAAATAGAACAATGTTACTCAAAGCATCACCAAATAATATATTTCCTTGCATCTTTATTTCAATGATTGTACAACATGCTTTCTCTAGAACTCAAGCTTTGTATTTCGACTGAGAATATGGACCACAATCATGTGAGAATGTATCTAAGCCTAAATAAATTGATTTTGGTGGGATCGAGACCCTAATCTCTTGCCATAATCAGGGAATTTCTGTTTTGGCCACCTGACCTTATTTTGTATATTGCCTTTTTAGCATGCTTGTTCCATTTTTTTAAGGTGTGACCAAGGCCAATTGCTCAACTTTGTCATATTGGTTTTTTGTAGTTGAAATATTTTATTCGCGGTTCATAAGCTTTTAGTTAGTCAATATACACGGCCTAACTAGGATATTGGTTTTGTTTCAGGGTGCTTCCTTTGAAAAGGACTGCTGAAGAAAAAGCCCAAGCGGAGCATGCTGCTGCTATATCAAATTTCAAGTCCATGCTTCAGGATAGAGGAGATATTACTTCGAGTTCGCGCTGGTCAAAGGTATGTGCATGCCAACCTTGTCTGGTATTTAATATCTCATTGAAGATACAGGTCATTAAAAGAATGCCCGCATCTGTATTTTTAGGGAAAACTGCAGTTGCCGTCCTCAACCTTTAGTCCCTTTTGCACTTCTGTCCCAACCTTCATACCTTGGCAGATCCATCCCCAGCCTTTCATTTTTCAGCACCTTAAGTTGCTACAATGGTTTTTATTCAAAAATCTATTGAGTAAATGTTAGAAGATGGATTTTCCCTAAATAAGGCAAAAAGATGTATAAATGAAAAAGAAGTAAAACAATGAAAGCAGAAGATTCATTTTCTTCTTCCATCCCATTCCCCAATTAAGCCACCACGCTATCCCAACACTGCAGTGCAGCAACCAACTACCATCCCTGCCTCTTTCCTCAGCTGCTACACACCACCATAGCATCCAACCACCCCAATGAGTCTGTGTTAGTTCATACCTCATCCTTCCAATATTTGCAGGACCTGGTGTTTGAAACTTACTAAATTCTTCATTTAGTTTATTGGGATTAGCATTATCGGCACAAAAGAGGCCAGTATCCATTGGAGGGAGTTGTAATGCCAAACTCCTGGGTACAATAAGTAGAGGAAGGTAGTGGGTAAAGTAAGCTCTGATATAAAAATAATATTAAGAACAAAATGTAAATCAGAATAGTAAGGGTTCTTCCAATAAAGTAGTTTGCTTTGCTGCTTCCCATGCTCCCCATGTGAGAATGGCAGACCTTCAGTTCAGGTGGAATGATGGATGCTAACAGCGGCCTCACAAGGCATGTCTATTGTGTGCAGCACAAATTCCTTGGCTTCGATTCGATTTTGACAAAATTTCTTCTAATTCTTGATCTCTTTTTTAAATCCCTCTCCAATCATCTTCTCCATCCATTCCATTGATGCTGTGCTGGTACGTTGAGCAAAAACTGAAGGATTGTAAGCCGAGAAAATCAATGAAGAGAAGAAAGAGAAAAAGGGGTGGGTTTCCAGAGTGTGGAGCAGCACCAGGATGGGAGGGAGCTTGGGTTTCAGGGTGGGGTTGCTGAGAGAGGAGATAAGGCTCCAGGATAGGGGACAATAACTGTTTTGTATTTGATTTTTTGTTTCTTTATCTTATCTGTCCTTTTAAGTATTAAAATACAATTGCCTTTTTACATGCAATATATGTTTTTGATGGACACCATCCGCAGGGACTACTGGGGCAAATAAGTGTAAGGTTGGGGAAAGAAGTGCAAAAGAGGGTAAAGGTTATGGGAGAATAGTGAAAGCAATTTATTTGATTATCCAATGCCACAAAGTGTAAAGCCATTTCTTATTACTTTCTCATAAGAAAATTATCAGAAGGCTCGACCCACATAACATCATGAGTAACCTAATGAAGTAATGTTGCCTCCAAAAGATATGCTTAGTTCAGGTGTACTGAAATTGAATCGTTGTTTTAGCAACTTAGCATAAAACTGGTATATGATCAATAGATAGAGACATACTTTTTGTCCTTGACATGTTCAATATTCATCGTGGTTTTGTATTATCTTTACACTTGTATCTGTCATCAGTTGCAAGGTGATTGATGGATTTCCACTAACATGACCAGAACAATAAGTTTCAGTTGGAACTTGATTTTACGGATATCAAGACTTTTACGAGTGTTTTACTCAGTTGATATTTTGATATACTTTTCTGCTTTGATTTCCATTAGTAGAGCTGTCCAACAGTCCACGGTCAGATGTTTCCTGGCTTGACTTATCTGTTGAAAGGCTGTGATATGATAAATAATGTTAAAAAAAATAGTTTGAACATGGGTTGATTAAGAAAATATTGAGTACTGAGGGTTGGCTAGTATCTTATGTCCTTAATAAACGTGTCCTCCCTCTTCCTAGGGATCTTGTTCAGCTGATTTCCTGTCCAGTTTATATATGAAGGGCCTTGCCTTTCGTTGCCCATTTCAACCTTGTTGAGAATCTTTGGATCTTTTCTTTGGTAGGTTAAAGATAGCGTAAAAACAGATGCCAGATGCAAGTCCATTAAGCACGAGGACAGGGAAAAGTTATTTAATGAATATATATCTGAATTAAAGGCTGCTGAAAAAGAGAGAGAGGGGAAGGCAAAGACAAAACAGGATGAGGAGGTTAGAGAACTTTCTCTTAACTATTATTGCATTGCTACTTTACTTATTTTATTTATATATGCTTTTATTTTTACTCTGCTTTCTGTATTTGATGTGCTTCTGATGTCATTACTTGTTAAATTCTGGTGCAAAATTGTCAGAAATGTCTCTCCTACCTTGCCTGTTGTCTTCCACTTTCCTCTGTCACTATGTGCACACAAACTAGCCTTTTCTGTTAGTTGGTTATTGAATGTCAGGTTAAATCGGGATGGAAATATCTAAGTTTCATACAATTAAAAGGCTTGCATTATATAGTTTCTTCCAAAAGTAATTGATTTATTTTTCAAAATTTAATTTGCTTACAAATTTTGTGAGACGTGCCTTTATTCTGTTAATTGTGATATTTGAAATTCTTCTCCGAAAGATTCAAATTGGCAGTTACATTTAACTTGGATATGATGCTTTATAAACTATTGCTTGTTCGTTTGTCACAAGCATGTGTCCTGAATTTTATATTTGGATATTTTGGGTTCTTCTAAGGGGTTACTCGTTTGAAGATTAATTTAGCTATCTGAACATCTATCCATGTCGACCATTCATTCAAATATGTTCATTCTGGATGATAAGCCCAAGCCCAAAAAGGAAAAAGAAAAACTACTTGAACTCGGGGGGCCAACCTGATTATGCAGAAAATGTAGGATTATCCAATGAAAATTTCTTGAATTAAGGATCTTATCCTAGCTTTTTACTATGTTTCCTTTTTATTCTTTCTTTTCATCACAATATAGTATTTGAGGTTTTTATTTGTTTAAAGTGAATTTCCTGTCACTGTCCTGCATTGAAGAACTTGTTCATCTTTATGGAACCAGCTCAGATTAGAGAGTTGAGACATTTCAATTTTCTCACGCCTAAAAGCCAAGAAACCAGTAGTAGTGGCTGTTTCTTAGACCTGCCATATATGCGCACCTACATCCTGCGTGTGCAAGATCTACATTGTTTTGTAGGCAACTGCTTCATGGAATCATAAAAGATGCTACTTTTTGTTTGGCACAGTATCTTTTGAAAGAAATGCTTGTGGTGGATAGGAGTAGAGAAGACTAATCCAAATTCTCGCCTGGTAGACACACTTCATAAACATTATACTAATACCTACTGCCAATGGAGGATGTATACTACCAAAATGTATTGCTCCCTCCATTGAAGGAAGATGTTATGTTCGACTTTCAAATTCAATTAGCATATGAGTCAACCTTTGCTTGCCATCCAAAGTGTCAAACTACACTGAAACTACTGCCACTTGTACATGTTTTCACTTTGGAAACAAGAAATGTAGAAGTAAATCCACTTTTACATGTTTTCACTTTGGAAACATGACATGTAGAAGTAAATCTGATATCCATTTGGGTCAGATGGAGTAGTATGTAAATTCTTCGATGTATACTGTACACATTCTGAATAAAATTCTATCATTTCCTTTGCATATGACTGTTTATCTGCGTCTGAGGATTGAAGTTTGATAAAGATGCAAATGACTGAAACTGTATTATCAATTGCTAGGCTATGCATATTACTGGATACTGATGTGTATATAAATTGAAATGAAAGATAAACAGGATTGTATCATATTTGGCATTGTGGATTCTACCCTTATCTATCTCTTAGTTTAGTGTATCCGCTTCTTTAGTGTCATGGTGGAAAATAATCACACCCAATAATTTGGATCATTGTGATTGGTCCTTAGCATTACAAGTAGAGGTGGCCAGATATTATCATTGTAGTTATTGATTGTTTATCATTTTCATATGCTTATTTTATTTGTGCTGTCATCTGATTATTAATTTACAAGATGTTATAAGTGTTTTGCATTGTGTTTATAGGAGAAACTTAAAGAAAGAGAACGAGCACTACGCAAGCGAAAAGAAAGAGAAGAGCTAGAAGTGGAGAGGGTGAGAATTAAAGCTCGTAGAATGGAGGCTGCTGAATCATATAAAGCTTTATTAGTAGAGACAATAAAAGATCCTCAGGTATTACTATTTGATATTTGATATTTATGTTTGATATCAGATTTAACTTAGTACTACCTATCAGGCTCCATGATGTCTTGTCATATTCAGTTAGAGAGCATTCCTGGAATTAATTAGTAACACCTCTAAAACACGTATGATCTGGTCATGCTAATAATACGTTTTTAGTATTTTATGGAATATTATTTTATAATTTTACAGCTTGGTAAAAAGGAAAGGTCTTATACACACAGTATTTTGGTGAAACTGTAAAGTGTATGACTAACTGTGGATGTTTTCTTAGATGGCCTTTTCATGCCATTTTGTCACTCTTTTTGTTACTTATAGTTTAGTTTTCCAATTTTTATTGTTCGGATATTTTCAAACTGATGATGGGGAAAAAGTTTATTGAGATAATCTAGTTTTTAGCTTTACTATGTGGTAGGGATAATTGTTTTATAGTCATGAATTGTTTGCCATAATCTATAACTCAAGAATAACACCGAAGGATAATTGTTTTATAGTCATGAATTGTTTGCTATAATCTACAACTCGAGAATAACACCGAAGGATAAGGCTCGTGTGTGAGCATGCTTTTGTGATTTAACTGCTAGACAACATTACTATTCTTCTTGGAAGGAAATTAAATTAAGTAGATTCCGCTCTCGAATTTTGTGGATAAAATGGACATTAGTAGAAGCAAGTTTCTCAGAGCAAAGAAACGTCCGTTGATATGTTTAACCTGGATCCATCTTTTATATATACTTTATTGCTTTTCATACTGCTTAGGCCCCAACACCAGAGTTCTTTTTTGCTTTTTCTAGTCATATCAAGATTTCACTCCTTCAGTTGCTTATCATTGAGAAGGTATTATAAAATAGTTTGTAATGTGCTTATCTGCATTTTGGCATGTTTGTATGTTTAGCTGCGTTATTCAAACTAGACTTTGAATATTGGAAGTTCTCTTGATACTGTTGATGATGTGGGTTTCATTTTGATGGGTGCATTTGATGTCATTTAAATTTAATAAGTACTATATTTTATCATTTTCACCGTGTTCCTCCTTCCTCTTACATCTTCGTTGGTCAGTATCATGTCTACTCTCGTTTCCCTATTTTAGTAAAATAAAATTAACTCAGTTTTCATGCCTGCACTGCCTCTGAAGGGATTGTGTTCTTGTTAGCTTCCCTTGATGTAAGTGATGCAGGTTCTAGGGGGGTTATTTTATTGCTATCGTTCTTCATTGGTCATCACACAATCATTTGTCTCTTAAGTATCCCCTGTTTGACCCCCATTAAATTTTATTTCATTTCTCCCTCCTTTTATCAACCACACATTTTCTCAATAAAATAGTATTACACATAAACTCAAAAATTCTCCTTACTTTTTAACGACACATTCTTCAAAAAACGCTATTCCATAATCAATTTTTTTAAATAATGGAGACTCAAACAAGGGCATATATTATAATTTTAATTATCAAATAAATTTTAATGCAGTTTTCTCTGTGCATCTTTTAGGCATCTTGGACAGAATCAAAACCGAAGTTGGAGAAGGATCCTCAAGGACGTGCAGCCAATCCTCATTTGGATCAATCTGACTCAGAGAAGCTTTTTCGGGAGCATGTTAAAGAATTGCACGAGGTCAGACAACATTCCTTTGACATGCTCCACTGGTTTGTTTATAATCATTGTAGTTTTATGCCACGAACGTTCTAGAAATTAAGCCCATGTTTGGTACACATTCTTTCAAAATTCATTTTCAACTGTATATTCTTCAATAAAATAACGTTTTCCTTCACATCAATAACTTTTCCTAACTTTTTAACCACATATTTCCCATCATATCACTATTTAAAATACATTATTTCGTTAATAATATCCATCACACACCCCCTAAACTGACCGTCCATTTGTTTTCTTCTCTTTTCTTTTCAGTCAGTTTTTACAACTGCCGGTTCTTTTATTCTCTGTTTGGTGTCATCCTTCTTTTATCACTATGGCTTTGTCATTGTTTTATTTTCTTTCTGCGAATAATGTATTGTGGCATTAAAATGTTCTTTTGATTTTGTCCAACAAGAAATTCCTCCTGTAATATACTTCCAGTTATATCTTTGAAGTAATTGTTTGTTATAATTAATATTCCTCTGTGGTTGTAGAGGTGTGCAGTGGATTATAAAGCTCTCTTAGCCGAGGCAATAACTGTGGATGCTGCAGCCCGAGAAACAGAAGGTGGTAAAACCATTGTTAATTCTTGGTCGACAGCCAAACAACTCTTAAAGAATGATCCCCGTTATAACAAGATGCCAAGGAAAGATAGAGAATCCTTGTGGTGGCGACATGCTGAGGAAATCCAGAGGAAGCAAAAGTTAGTACACGATCAAGAAACAGAGAAGCATGCAGAAGGAAGAAGTCGAAACTTTGTTAATTCTGATAAGTATGTGTCTGGGTCTAGCAAAGCTGCTCATGACAGAAAATGATCTTGCCCTCGGTTGAAGCTGAATATTATGCTGCAGGACAGAAAGGGGAGCTAGATCTTGTTACGTATTAGGTCTGCCAAGATTTGATGTGCACGAGAGCTTTTCTTCAAGAGAAATTTTGAACTCCACCTTGAGAAACTGTTCATACATTATTAGTTGTGCTAAGTACCCGATGGAACGAATGAGAATGTAACTTTATAACTTAATATAATTGGTTTAATCCTTAAGGTGTGAACTTTTTATCCAGATATAGTTGACCTCCCAAGTGTTATGGTATTTGTGCATTATGTAGCCCACAGGAGAGTTATTATACCAAGCCATTGCAATAGATGGGCATTTAATCGTCGTAGTAGTCAGTCGACCCAAAATAGGACTAGCCATCTCAGCTCATGACATTTGCAAATGGGATTTCTAGAATGATCCTTTTAGTTGATTTAGGTTGGTCGAGACATGATTTGTATATACTTAGAGCGAATCTTGTTCGCAGCAGCAATGGGTTTGTGAACAGTGCAATTACTTGAGCAGTAGAGATGTCACGTGATTCAACTTATCAAACGATAGTTCTTAATGTAGAAAACTAGGAGGAGCTCTCCAACTTTTCATTTATTGTGGAGACGACTTCTTAAATTACAAAAGAACCAAGCTAGTTTTAATCACACATCATATAGGTACTCAAACTTCCAATTTTTCCTTATCTATAGTTAAAACTTCCTACTCTATTTCTCATTCATTGCTAAAACCCAACCTGATCCAGTCAATAATTCAATCTTCATCCCCAAGATCATTGGTCCCAAATCTATAAACCGATTGGGTTTTATGAACTCAATTAAAAATAATGTTAATTGTCATGAAGGATGGTGACAGTACAGTTTGGTGGTCCCAAATCTATGAACTCATTGGATGTTATGCGTCCAATTAGGAATTGACGCTATCGGCTATCAGGCAAAATAGAGTTAGAATCGTGAACCACCGATGAATGAAAAATTTGTGTATAAATTGATGTATTATATAATCATGATTAGTAGTTTTCTACTACAATTGTGATTTATCTTTTCTAATTCTAATATGTTTTATCTTTTTATTTTTATTTCTTGTTTAGAATATAATTTCTTTTAGTTATTAATTAGATTAAGATTTTTAATTAGATTAGGATTTTATTAGTTTCCTTATTTTAGTTTCATTTTATTAATAGGATTAGGGATAATGTTGCCTATAAATATAAGAGTATTGTACAATTTTCAAGTGAATCAATCATATATCAATACAAAGCAAAATTATTTCAATATAATTCTGATTTTCAATTCTTATTATAAGAATTTCATAACGCTTCCACATCAAAATTGGTATCAGAGTAAGGAATTCACCTCAATCTAATGGTCGAAGATGGTCCTGGTGACAGTCGAACCGTTGATGACGAACGGAGGCTCGACAAACTCGAACAACGAATCGAGAGGGTCAATGAAACCCTTCATAACATCACGTACATGGTGGTCTTGAAAGGAATCGCGAACCTATGGAGAAGCAAGCTAACAAGAATTTGCAGACTTTTACTACGATGAATGTTGGTTGCTTCAACAAGATTAAAATACGGCAACAGGTGGTTAGAGAGTTTTCTCAAGCCCTAACTAAATTTGAATACACACAAATAATCAAGGATTCTACGACAGTCTATTGAGAAAATATAATAGAGTCCAATTTGAAGCGCAATAAAATTTTTAAAAACACGATGCACTATCAACAACAAAGTATGCAAAGTCATAATAAATCATAAAAGTAGTCAAAACTTGGTGTCCAAAGCATTGATGAAAACTTTAAATTTAAAAACTGAAAAATATTCATCTTCCTATCAAGCTTTACAAGAGCAAAAAACTCAAAATATGGAGGTATGTAAAATTTCACTTTCTCTTGAAAAGTACTACAAAGATGAGATTATATGTAACGTAATAGAGACGGACAATTGTCATGTACTTTGAGAATAACCATGGTACTATGATGTAGATGCCACTTACATAGGTCGAGATAATAGATATGTGTTTAGGTGATACGATAAAAAGATTGTCTTGGTGTTATGTGATGAACAATTTATAAATGACAAAGAGAAAAATGTTTATAAGGCAGATGATGAGGCAAAAAAAAAAAGCAATCCAAGATAATCAAGATATTACTAATCATGTTACTAAAACAGAAAAAGAAAAACATGTGCAAGTTGAAAATTCGAGACCTATTGATTCCTTGTATATGGAAACTACAATTGAAAACTTCAAGATCGAGTCGCGTTCCAAGGATGAACAAGTTGAAGATCAGAAGTGTCCAACAGAAGAGGAAGAAATTAAATTTTGCAATCACGAAGGAGTCATATGTGAAGATTGTCAAATTGAGAATAAGAATTTTGTTGACATTTTCTACAACTTTAGTGTCAAAAATTGCATACAAATAAGAAAAATATGGAAGATGAGGATTTGAGTCCGCGTACCAATTCTTTTGTGTTAAAAAAAGTATCACTAAACATTACAGCCAAATGTGAAACGTACGAAAAATTGAAAATAGCACAAGTGGTCTCTATCGAGAGCGAACTCAATGATGAAAGATCAAATCATGCTTCGTTTTTTAAGGGATGTCATTCACAAATTATTCGTGAAGAGAATATAACAAGCATAATAGGAACAAAGTTGACTTTGAATAATGCAACTGAAGAATATAATGACATTTATCGAGCACGTCAATAAATTGTCATTTTTTCAATATCGGTATTTGCAGAAATTTTTGGGTATTTTCCTCCGTATTGATTGATTTTTTCTTCAAGAAAACTCGAAGACGAGTTTTATTTAAGTGGAGGGGATTGATGTAGTACATAATCACAATTAGTAGTTTCCTACTACAATTATGATTTATCTTTTCTAGTTCTAATATGTTTTATCTTTTTATTCTTATTTCTTGTTTAGAATATAATTTCTTTTATTTATTGATTAGAATAAGATTTTTAATTAGATCATGATTTTATTTTCATTTTATTAATAGGATTAGGGATAATTTTGCCTATAAATATAGGAGTATTGTACAATTTTCAAGTGAACCAATCATATATCAATACAAAACAATATTATTCTAATATAATTCTGATTTTCAATTCTTATTATAAGAATTTCATAACGCTTCCGCACTAAAATTAGGAAAGTGAAAATTTTCTTATATATTATAAAAATCTCGATTTGAAAGTTCAAGAATTGTACCATTTATAATGCATTTGATCTTTTTATAGCAGAAGATGGCAAGTTGTGAAATAAATGAATCAATAATATGAATATAGGAAAGCTTGGCGTCTTGATCCTTTAGAATCTAATCTATGAAAAAATAATAGGAAAAATTGTACCATTGGTCTCCAACCTATCGATTTAATTTTACTTTCGTGTCTAAAGTATGTTTCTTCGCAACATAATACACAAATTTTACTTTTAAGTACAATAGTCCTTGATTGTACCTTTTCATCAAAAGATCTCTCAATGAGCATCACATGCTTGGTTTTTTTTTTTTTAAGGTTATAATTGTCTATTCCCACCATTCGTATTTCAAATTACCAAAAAAAAAAAAAATTAAAAAAAAATCTTTATCTTCTTCTTTCTTGTAGACTATTGATTTCCTTGCAAAAATTACATTCAAACCTAAAATCTAAATCCAATGCAGCACTGATGGCTGAAATTGGTTTTCTTCACAAATCTTACTTGTTGATGTTAGGCAGTTGATCAGTTAAACCTCCATACATGTAGGTCTGTTGAAGTGTGTGATTGAAAATGAAGTTTAATTATTCATGAACGATATATAAATTTTATCACACAGAGGCTAAATTGGGCATCAACAATTAGTCCATCCATTGTAGATTGTTTAGGTAGTGCATTAATTAGATATTGTTAAGATGTACAAATTGAGATTGTAGCTTTCATTTGTCGAAATTTATAATTCATAGTTCATTATAAATTTTCGATTTGAATAACATTCAGTGACAACTGTAGAGTGTAGAAATATGTCTATTATCAAAGACGATAGCCGAATGAGATAGTTCCAAAATTTGGGAAGAAGAAATTTCATTTTTCTTTTTTATATTTTCTTCTTTTTATTAATTGTTTCTTCTTCTTTAAAATATTTTAACTTAGAATAAGAGTTTTAGGGACTTTTTAACAGTCAAATGATGGAATATGTTACCATGGACCAACAATGCTACAAAACTTCAAGACTGGAGTCATGCTGCCAAGAAATGAATATTGAGGAGAAAATGGCAACAAATCACATAAGTTGGGGACTAGTGGGAAATTTTCCCTAAATATTATATCGGGGCGCTCCCTTCACATTTCATTCATAGGCAACACACCGTAAAGGAAAGCAATCAAAAGCCAAATCGACACTTAAAAATAAGCTTCTTTTTTATACAGGTACTAATGGTTCAACTGTTTCATTCTAAGATTCTATAAAAAGAATAAGAAAGAAAACCAAGAGAAATTCAACTCAAGTAATATGTTTAATTTGCAAAAAAGTAGTGATCTTTCTTCGAACGGATAAAATGGAAATCAATGTTGGTAAAGAAAACCTAAGTAGAGGATAAGTAGTTGGGTCGATCTATTGTTAGAATAATTCTTGTTTATTTTTCCAAAATGTCAGAATCTCTTTCGTTTCCAAGTGAATAGTCTGAATTCATTGTTTACTTGGGATCTTCATTTTTCTTTTAGTTCATTTCTCTGCTACCGAGAGAGTTTGCTGTTATTTCTATTTGTTTATTCCGTATTTCGATTTTTTGGTTCTACTGTTACTTGTTTGTGGATTTTATGTGTGTATAGTATTGTGGTCATGGCAAGGAAGATGTTGATTGATGGGGAGCTGGAAAAGCACAATGAAGAGGAGACTCACTATGACTTTGATTTGTTTGTGATTGGTGCTGGCAGTGGCGGAGTTCGTGCTTCACGATTTTCTGCGCAATATGGAGCTAAGGTATAATTACAGGAAAAGCCCAATCTATTATTGATTGCATTGTTGTAGTTGGTGTTTCTTTATCACTTGTGGGGATGCTGTAGAGGTGTATATACGACCTTGTTTTGTTGAAGATTCAAATTATTAAGAGTCCGTTTGATTCTCATTAATTGGGAAAAAAATGAGTTTTGAATAGTATTTTTAGAAGAATGTGTGATTAAAAAGTAGGGAAAAATTTTTGATATACGCGTAGAATATTTTATTGTGTGAATGTATGGTAGAAAATGATATAAATTAATGCCCGCAAACAGGCTTTGGTGCCTTAAGAACATGCGTAGTTTTGTCAGGATTTTGATTATTGAATGATCTTTAATACATGTTTTCCCTTAATTTTTTATTATTTATTATTTTTCTACTTTAACAGGGAATGAGATCTGAAGTAATTTGAGTTGGTAAACAACAAAAGGGGTTTAGATAATACATATCTATCTGCCTAACCATTCCTCACTGTAAATATTAATTATTCTATTCCTCAATGATGTAGGAGAGTCCAATAAGATAGATTTGTAGTGGATCTTAATTCAAACTGGTGAAGAAAGATTTCCACAACCTGTGTGTATTCTTTTTCGATTGGCAAGGTTCGGTTTAGAGACATCCAGAACTGTTCGAGAGTTGTGAATAGTACTCAAGAACAATACTTTGGAAAATGCAGTACAGTTTTGAAGCTAAGTGGTAGCAGGATTCCATAAACACTGTTTATTAGCATTACATAAATGGTTAATCAACTTAGTCATAGGGGCAGAAATCTAGAATTGAGGTGGTTCGAGCGAAACCAAACAATCATAATAGTAATCCACTTTATTCAAATAAAGAGGGTTCATATAGCCTCCCCAAATTACTGGGATTTGGGAATAAGGCTTAGTTTGTCATTATCTTAATAAAGAGATTGCAGAAGTTTAAAAAGACTTTATAGCTTATTCTTTTGGAAAAGGCATGTGTTTCGAACTAGAAAGTACATGCAAATTTAATTCCAAGATCAATCTATATTAGTAAGGTCTCTTAGTAAAATTCAAAATGATATAAAATCTTATACTCAGATTCAAGTTCCAAAATTACTGTAAATCTGCAGAAGATCTTCAAAACTCCCCCATAATATAAATGAAAATAATCAAACTTGAGGAGAATGCTCTAAAGTTTCGATGGATACCCATCGTGCACGATTGTTTCATTTAATCTTTTTCTAGTTATGTTCATTCCCCGCCAGGACATTTTTTTTTTTTTCTGTTGGTGAAGATGTTTGAATATGTTACCAGGTTGGGATATGTGAGCTTCCATTTCATCCTATCAGCACTGAAGTGATTGGAGGAGTTGGCGGAACGTAAGTTGCCTATTAATAGTTGTAGATATTTCTGTATACTTGGTTTAATGCTGTGGCTAATAGGCATATAGATGGGCTGCCCAATTTCATGATGTTCCTTTCTGATTTGTATTGATGATACACTTCATGTGTATTAAGCTTTGATTAATATAATATTTGATTACCTTTCAAAAAAAAAAAATAGTTGTAGATATTTCTCATTTTGGCATTATAACATCCTCTTTCAGATGAAGCCATGAACATTGATTTACTGTTATTGCATCAGTTAGGGTGGTTGTAGGGGGTGGCTATCATGAGATAAACTTACACAAGAACTTCAATATTATTCTAGCATTCATAATGTTAACTGATACATGTCAAACATATGCATATAGAGGAGCTTACTGCGCTTTCATAGTAAGTTGGTTCAGTATTTTCTGTGGTTAGACATCTAATTGATGCTGCTGTCCTTTCATGGATATGTAAATTTGATTTTTACTGGCAATTTGAAGTAATGAGAATGAAGATGCCGCTAAGAAATTAGTTTTTACGGTTTTTTCAGGTGTGTCATTCGTGGTTGTGTTCCTAAAAAGATTTTGGTCTACGGTGCAACCTTTGGATCTGAATTGGAGGTGAGATTATGACTTAATAAGACGAAGAGATGATAAGGGGTGACATTTTCTTGAGAAGTATCTGTTTAAATTTCATTATATTCTTTTTCTCTGGTACATTAGCAAGTTATTTTAGAAAATGTGCATTGAAAAACCTGTTAAAATTAACATTGTTTTCAAGTTATCTTTTTAAATTTAGTAGGAGAAGTAGTTTATCAGTTGAGGAAAGAAGGTTCGGAAAATGTTTGGGAAAAATGGTTTATTTAGCCAACATGCAGAGAGTAACAGTTTACATCAGTGCCAGAGGTTTCAAGGAGTTTAAATATATTTCTTGTTGGTGACATATGAGATTCTTTCTTTCTTTTCTTTAGAGAAATCAAGAAAAAAAACATATTCTAGGTTTTTCATTATTATGTGACTTATAATTTGTATCAAGTTTGTTATTATAAAAACTTTTTGTTGCTATTATTTCACACCACAAGTGAACCGTCTACAAAGACCTTAAAATGATGAAATGGAACGCACATGTGTAAGCCAATATGAAAATATGTTGAGATGCACTTGTACACGCATAAAAGGAGACACAACGGTACAGTCCAACAATACCAAAAGTACCCCTATTAGAAAAAAAAAATTGAAAATAAAGAATTATGCTGTTCAAGCAGAAGGAAATGATTCACTTTCTGAGTTACCCAAATGCTCCCAATTTGATGTAGAATTTGCAAAACCTTACTTTTCTACCTGCCGCCTTCTCAACGCCTTTCCTGCTTATGTAGTTCTCCTTTCCCTTGCAACACCTTGTGTATCTCATATTAATGGATATTTGCATCTAAGTAGCAAGTAATTTGCCGACACAAAGCCTGGGCAATTTTGTAAACCAAGCAGTCTTGCCAAGTACAATGATAAAAACTGCTTGAAGCATAACTATGCAATCATCAACTGAGTTCTTTTACTTTGTGGTGTGAGCAATGAGGCTAGGGAATTGAGTACTCTGTTACGAAGGCCTAAAAGAAGGCAATGGCTTTAGAAGACCTTTGGCGCCTTGCCATAGGAAATTCACCCATTTGAGGATTCATCACTGAATCATGAGCCATATTGTGCTTTTCTGTCATTCTGGAGAGAGGAGCTGAATATGTTTAATATAATTATGCTTTGCACTTTTATTCTTCTGTACTTTTTTTTTCTTAAGTGCCTAGAAAATCCCAACCAACTTGTTGGATATGGACGACAATGATATGGTGACATTTAACACTGTATGGTATGTCTCCTTACTTTTACCTCGGAAAATCATATCCATATTTATGTGTCTTGGATGAATGAAAACATAAAAAATTAATGCTGACAATAGTTCCAGTCATTATAATTTCGAAAACCAAGTTGATTTTACTTCATTGTTGCTTTGCAATTCCAAAATTTTTTAAGCACATTAAACATAAGTCCAACTTGGAATAGATGCGGAAATGAGGTGTAGTTGTTTAGTAAAGTTGTTTAGCATTTCGTTTAAAAGACATATTAGGATCCTTTCTTTTTTCATTTCCTAGAGTTGGTGGATTCGTAATTCCATGTATTTTACAGCAGTATTAAGTTCCTTTGCACATGTAGAGTCAACCTTGTTAGATATTCATGTTAGATGCCATGTTCATGCGTGTTCAATTAATTAACAGTTTTAGATGACTGATTGAAGATGTGACATAATTGGAAGAAAATATTCATATGTTAATGAAATCAATGCAAATTGTCGCTTCTTAATTGAGATGGCCTGCAAAGTTTGCGCTTTTTTGAAAGTTTTCCCTTTTTTCTAAGTAGAACTCGTGATCTAGTTTTTTAGATTCATAATAGTTTATTATATTTTGTTAGGATTGATCTATTTACCCCTCTGACATGGTGTGTTGTGGCTCGCTGATTTCCCTGGCATTCATGACGAAGGGACTGTAACTGTGTCTATGTGATATTATACTTTGTGATCTTCAGGATAAGCTAGTGCATACAGTTTACAATGACTATGCCCACACTACAGAGCCATTAGAAAACTTATCCACATGAATTCAAGATATTAACAAGTGGTTTTGCCAATGTGTGGAGAATATTCTAATGATTGCAGTGTTTTGTGTTTATTTAGAGGCTCATGGTGCTAGGATAGTGTAACTGAATTGTTTTGGATCTTATTATTGGGACTATTTCACTTGAAGACAAGCTTATATCTAAGTGCTTGGAACTTCAATTCATATTTAAGTTATTTCACTATATATCTTTGATTTCAGTAAATTCATACTTAACGGATGTAAAATTGTTGCTGGGTCAATACGGATCACCCATTATGGAGATCTATTTATACCTCTGGTTTTGCAGGACGCAAGGAGTTATGGATGGGAACTGAATGAGAAAATTGATTTCAATTGGAAGAAACTTTTACACAAGAAGGTAAGTAGAATATAATGTCATTTGTTCTTTTACATGTTAAAGGCTGTTTATCATTCACCTTACAGCAACTTCCACTGTTTCCTTTTAAGCACAATCGCATACTTTTGATCAGTCTGTACAGAAATGTGGGTAATAGATACCTTGTTATCAAACATTCAGTTACAGTTTAGAGAGGAGTAAAGAGGACTTAGAGTTTCAATCAAGTTTAGAATTAAGACTAGTTCTTGTCTGGACAACAGACAAGTTTTGATGCTTGGTTTTTCTTTTTAAAATTTCCAAATGTACATTGCTTATCCAAAAGCATTAAGCATGGTTAATTTTAAGTTCTAGATGATTTTGGGAAATATCAATAGTGATCCCATTTCAAGAAATTCATTTTTGTCAATGTCACTTGTCTCCTGCTAGTATGCTGATAATAATTTATCTTGATGCTAATGTCATTATTTTTGTTCTAATCATCTAGGTTTTTATCTTCATTGTTGAGATGGTCATTAATGTTTATGTAAGCATGTAAATTATTTATTCGTTGCCCATTTTAGTGGTTGCAAAAAAAATTCCCCTTCCCAAAAAGATTGTTATAGAAATGGGAAGTGTGAACCTTTGTAATGTATATTTCTCTATTTATTTTGTTAAATAATCAATGTCATTTTACAAGAACTATTCTGAACATTGACTACTTCCTTGAATGGCATTTTTAATGTATGTTACTTTTCTTTATATCAATTTTTCATGTTTCGTCTTTATTCCTGGTTTGCAGACAGAGGAAATAGTTAGACTAAATGGAATCTATAAGCGGTTACTTTCAAATGTGGGAGTTAAACTGTTTGAAGGAGAGGGAAAAGTTGTTGGTCCAAATGAAGTTGAAGTGATGCAATTGGATGGCACCAAAATAAGCTATTCAGCAAAACACATTCTGATTGCAACTGGAAGTAGGGCTCAACGTCCATCTATTCCTGGACAGGTATGTATGATTTTTGTATATATAATTTACTCCGTTAGTGCTTGAGCTATTATTCATATGCATAGATGTAATGATCCAAATTTTTAATATTTAAATCGTTACTAAAAAAATTATTTAAACTTAAAAACAAAATGGTATGCAATAAATATAAAATTATGTAACGTTGGTTTACTTACTGTTATATAGAATAATTTCATATTCCTTAAAAAAAAGAGGACTTTCCTACGTTATATCTTATTCATTTCGTAATTAAATAAGCATTCCAAACATCACAACATGAAATTTTTGGTTCCACCAATATTATGGCCCTGTTTGACACCCATTCTCATTCTCATTTTTTTCTCTTTCTTCATTTCAATCACACATTTTTCAAATAAAATAATATTACACACAAATCTAAAAAATTTCATTACTTTTCAACCACACATTCTTCCATCAATCACTATTCCAGAATTCATTTTTTTCCCAAAATGGGTGTCAAACACAAGTTAAATAAACATATGGAAAAATATAACCAAATAAAACATGTTCCAAACTCAAATAACAAATCCACATAATAATAAAACTAAAGTAATACTGAAATAAAATATAATAATATATAATCATGTTACTTCGGATTTAATTTATCGAGTCCAATAAATACAAGCACAACGATTGCAACTCATTGACCGCCATCCAATTATCTATTCTAATATGTGAGAGGTAGGAAAAATTGTGAGTACATGAGAATATTCAGTAGGACATAAATAATGGTGCAATCCCGAATAAAAATATTAAATCATGCATAAAAAATATCATATCGTCATATTATATCTTTAGAAACTGGTAAGAGCTCAATAAATATCATATATTTGATACCGGATCGCCATAACATACATATCATATCATAACATAACTTTCATTAGCATAATATTTATCAACGTGAAGAAATAAATTAAACGGGGCAAACCACTTGCATCTCGTAATTCTACCCCGTCTGGTTAAATAAATTTTTGGAGAAATAAAACCAAAATCACGTTTCAACTTTATTTTCCTCATGCTGCCGGGTTTAAAAATTATATTTTATGGTGAAAGAAATCTGACTTCTCTTAGTTGTGATTTCTTAAGCTTTTTCTATGGAGAAAATCGGTTGCATAAATGGATAAATATAGGACAAGTGTCCGGTAGAAAGTGAAAGTCCAATTTACCCAAAACTTATATCCAAATCAAATAAAACATCATGCTTTAACTCAATCCCAACAACCACGTAGTGCCCATACTTTCACAAATAAAAACAAAAGTAATAAAATAATATTTAATGACAACGTCTTTAAACTTCAATAACTTAGACTTCGCTTATCCGAATTAACTTTTTCTCTAGCCTAATATACATGATTAATTAGGAGCTATCCAATGAGCCACATATTGATATATTTTTCATCTCTTTAACAATATCTAAATATTTAGCCCAAAATTTTAAGTTAATACATATATCACTTTTATTCCTACAACTTTCTCAATAATATAAATTATAGCATCTAGAACAATTAAATTCTATTATATGATACTTTCTGGACTTTACAATAGAATTGATTCTTGTATTATGCCCCTATTTAGTGCACATTTTGTGGCCGAAAATGTATTTTTTTTTATATATAATGGAGAATATGTGGTTGAAAAAGAAGGAAAAATTATTGATGTGATGAAAAATATTGTTTTATTGAAGAATGTGTGGTTGAAAATGAGTAGAAGAATGAGAATGAAAAAAATAATGTGGCTCAAACATGGGCTATAATCCAACTTGAATTTTGTAACTTCAGATGGGATGCCATATGTGGTAACTATGTGATGACTTTTCACAACAAATTTCTGCCTCTATCTGATCCCTCCTTTTCCCCCTCTCTACTTTGCATTTTAATTTCCTCTAATTCCCATTCAATTTTTATTGATACCTTTGGTTCTCCCTTTATCTGGAGTGTATATTGATGTGTATGCTTACATTTTTTGGCTCACGTCTAGGAATTGGCTATAACATCTGACGAGGCATTGAGCTTGGAAGAGTTACCTAAGCGAGCTGTTATACTTGGGGGCGGGTATGCTACCTCTTCTTCGTTACACTGAATTTGTTTAGTGTTCTTAAAAAGATATAAATGATAAATGTTTCGTCTTTGAAATGTAGGTACATTGCTGTTGAGTTTGCTTCAATATGGCGTGGGATGGGTGCAACAGTGGATTTGTGCTTCAGAAAGGAGCTTCCTTTGAGGTTATGAAGTTTACTTGAATATCAACTCTTTGGTTCTCTGTTTCTGTGGCTGCCTGGTATTGTAGTGAAGGTTATGAGATCTACTACCTCACCACATGAAACTTCAGAGTAAATGAACTATTGTTGACTGCGAAAATGAGGCTGAGACACTTGAGACATAACTTTGATGAAATCCTTCAAGTATTTAAATTGGAATTTTCATGAGATAATATATTTCAATTTGCTTAATTTCTTCAGATTATGAATTCAATTTTATTGAATTATTTTCTAATTTTAGCTTTCCCGACACCTGTATAGACAAGGCTACATATGTCCAAGATAACTTTTATTGATTGAAAATGGACTGAAACTGGATTCCTTTTTCTGCTTTGTTCCATTTTCCATCACTTTTTGGACAGTCCAATTATTTATGTTTTCCCCGTCCTTCCGAACAGGCAAAAAGCTATACTAAGCCCCCATATATTTTTACGTGCGATACTACTAGTTGCTAAGTCATTAGTGCCTATCAGTACTTCAGATTACTTCAGCATGATTTCTGTTCTTATTATGGCCAATGGAAATTATTTGCAAACTTGTATATAAGGTTTTTTAGTTCAATTCATGCCCTTTGTCAATTAGAAGCTATGCATTTTTCCTGCAAATGAATACATTTACTTTTTTTTTTTAATGTGTAATGCATTTCATACAGTTTTTTCTCTTTTTCTTTGATAGGTAATCACGTA